TCTATATTACTTGGTGTATAATTTTCATGTTCTGATTTCACATCCACTCATCTCTACTAACTTGGACTTTTGTATTTATGATTTAAAATTGATTGTGTCTTGCTTTGTTTGGCTTTTTAGACCTCTGGCTTTTGAAATCAAAGATTGAGTCTTAATTAACATTCTTCAACTTTACTAGAGGTATGACATTTGTCCAATTGCTCATTTTTTTAAAGAAATTTGTCTTTTCACCCGTAAAATAGACAAATATTGTAATATGAATCTATTAGCCCTTTTGTGATTAAATTAGACATGTCATGTATAGGCTCAGCTTAGTGCTTGGGACATAGAAAGACTTCTCTGTCTCCCAAATAGGTATGAATATAACAGCACCATCACTGTTGTTATTATCAGCTCATGTTCTCTTGCTATGATTCATTTCTTTTCTTTTCTTTCTTTCTTTCTTTTTTTTTTTTTTATTAAATCATAGCTGTGCACATTAATGCAGTCATGGGGTACAGTGTGCTGTTTTTATACATAATTTGAAATATTTTCATCAAACTGGTTAACATAGCCTTCATGTCATTTTCTTAGTTATTGTGTTAAGACATTTATATTCTACATTTAGAAAGATTCACACGTACCCTTATAAGATGAACCATAGGCATGATCCCACCAATCACCCTCCCTATCACTCATTCTCCCTCCTCCCCTCTCCTCCCTCTCCCCTTTCTCCATATTCTCCAATAAATTTTGAGATGGGATACAGAACAGAGAACTTAATAAGCAAGTACATACATTTTATTTAGGTCCCAATTTAGGGATTCAGCTTTATATCCGATATGGGGCACATCCTAGAAATCCATAGTGGATGGGAATTTCAGGTAAGTACTAGAAAAAAATGATACAATAGAAATGATTTCAGAAATTGGACTGTAAAATAGGGAGAAAAATAGGGTGACATTGTTACTTAGCCAAGGGAAAAAGTCTATTGCCTTCACATTGGTAGGGATTTAAATAGACGTTGTCAGCTGACTGATATTTAACCCCAATAACTATAGAAAAGAGAAATTGGGCTTCAGTGCTATGAAAGGCATATAAAGTAGAAATAAGGTGCCACGGCAATGATCCTTTTATCCATGCCTCTGTTTTCATTAGCCAATTGAAATGGAATAAGAAAAAATATCAGGGCTGTGAAATTATAACCAAAATGTGTTATTTCAAAAAATACTTGGAACTGATTTAAATGGTACACATCTAAGCTACTTTAATTTGCATTAGACTGAAACTTGGCATGTTTCTCAGTCCAGATGTAATTTATTTAAATTTCTTTAGTTGTTTTTCAATTTAGAAATATGCATAGACATAAAATTTTGCATGTCTCACATTTTTTCTGCACATTTATGAATTAAAATTAACCAAATTATTAAGTAGCTTGTTCTTAAATTGAACTAAGACAGTTTTCATTTCTAATGACAAGGGAAAGAAGTACGGCAATCAGGGGAATGAAGGATTTTCCATCATTGAGAAACTGCAGTGGTGCTTGTGGCCTGGTTGCAGGATTCAGCCTTCAATGGGTTTTGCAAGTGCCTTGATCACATCAAGTATGTGGATTTTTTTTTTAAGACTTCTATTATCATTTGGAAAGACAGAGTCATACTTCACTATTACAAGTAGTTTCCCACTAAGAAATCCACATTGGACATTTCTGTTTCCCTTGGTCCTCTTCCTCAGCCTCTAGTGTGTACTTCTCTTTCTCTGTCTGCCTCTTTGCCCTACTATTGTTTTCTTTCCAGGTTTCTGCCATATCATATCCTCTGTCCTCCTTTTCCCCCTTATGGCCACTATCTGCCTTATATTAAGCAGAGAAGTTTGGTGGAATATTTTTGGTTATTTAAGCATTCAGAATGTTTCAATTTTTATCCCCAATTAACAGCAGGAGGCATTTCGTTTGGATAAATGGGGTTTCCCTATGGAGAAATTGTGAATAGGATTTTCTTTCTTTTTTTTTTCTACATACACAAATGTGTATATATTACCTATATACTACATATACACACACACACACCTTACTATATATAAAATATACACACACACATATATATTTATATAGAGAGAGTATTTGAAATGTGTAACTTTAGGATTTTTGCCTAGAGCATAAACTGAGCATCCAAGTGCTTGTGTTATCTTGAATTCATGATTCCGGATGGGCTAAAACAATGATGCTATAGTCCTTTGCCTTTCAGATACTGTGCTTAGCATGTCAAAGTGGCTGAATGGAGCACAACTGTGGGCCATGTGAGTGATCAGCTTATGACTCTTGGCTTACAAGAACCCTAAGGGGCTCCAGCTACTTAAATCAATGCTTTAGATTTAACATCACTATGAGCAAATATCTTCATTTCAGTGGGCTCTGTGAAGCCATAAACTTTGTCTGATATGTATGATGCTGCCTCCTCATGATTCAGGGTAGTTCCTGGAACTTAAAAATTTGATTAAAAATGAATAATAAGGTTAAAGTCTTCATCAGGCATGATAGACTAGGTTGTGCTGCAATAACAACTCCGAAGTCTCAGCTGCTTAAACAATAAACTATTATTTAGTACATACATTCAGCATGAGTTGGCAGTGGAGGGGGAAGACCTGTACTCACACAAGGATCCAAGCTGATAGGGTAACTCATCCCTATTCCAAAAGTAAAAAGAGATCTGAAGGGTGTTGTTTCAACAGTTAACTGCTCTAGCTTATGGTTTTGAGGTAATACCATCAGTTCTACTGCTATGTCACTACGCAGAACTTCATAGCCCACCCAATCCTAAATAGATCAGAAAATGCCATCCTGCCATGGTCAGAAGGTGGGAGAACTCAACTTCTCTGAGGGGGGTAAGAGTAGTTTTGCTTTGAGTTGGGGGGGGCAGAAATGAACTAAATGGCTTTAAGATCAGTATCTGTTGGTTCTTACATTATTAGGACAAATGATCATTGGCTGTAGTGCAAAGTATTTGGAAGAAAAAAGTGAAATTATGTAGATATTCTTATTTCATTGCATACACATAGAATGTCCTTTAAGGCAAGTCTTTTTTTTTTCTTTTTTAGCCATGCCCTCTGAATGCCTTGAACATAATCCATTAGTTGGTGGATTAAATTGAATTGAATTGTAGAATAACTATCTTGACACTTAATTTCACTAAAAATGAAAAACATAATGGTTATAGGTTTTCAAAATGCTTGCCTCTATTAGCCAATGTAAACTTTCTTTTAATTTTAATTCATTAGTGCAGCAAAAACACAAATACAATCAAAGGGCAAAGACTTCTTTATTACACACTTTTTAATTTCAAATGCCTGGCAAAATATATGCCTCTAGAATGAATGAATAAGACTTTTTGGAGATTGTCTTAATGTGAAAAAAAAATAAGAAACTATAGCAGTTAATTTTATTTTTCTCATGAAATTGTTTTATCCATGTGTTAAGAAATGGGCTCTCAAGCAGATCATTTAGGTTTGAAACCTGCTATGTCATTCAGCAGCTATATATCATATGTAAGTTCATTAACCTTCCTCCCCTCACATTCCTCATCTGTAAAATGGAGATAAATAATAATAATAGTACCTATTTCGTGGGATGAGTAAAAAAATCAAATTATACTTTATAACATATGCTATAGAACAGAGCTCACACCAGTGAAGTTCTGATAAACATTAGTGCTGCAACTGCTAATATTATTATTATTATTGTCTTGATACTGCACAGTCAGTATAAACTTCTGTGCATAGCCACTAACAAAGCAGTAATGAACCACCAAAGTGAAATATGCAACACTACCTGGAAAGAACTTTGTGGTGTTCTTAATTTATCTTTATCTGTAAGATTAATATTTATTATTAGTTTGAGATTTGTGTGGTGGAAAGTTTGAATAAACATTTGTTAGGCTACTAAGAGCTATGATGTGTATTTTGTGCAATGTGAAAGACCAATGGGGAAGACTGACCAGTCCAAAGCATCCTTCATTCTCTCACTCTTGATAACATGAGAGAATAGAATCACTTCCAAAGAAGTGCACTGCAGCATTGAACCTTCTTTATAATGCCCCTGAAAGGTAAAAGAGTATTCTGAAGAATTTCAAAAGGTTTCTGAGGAAGGAAAATTATGAGAACTACCTCATTATTGAAAACAATATAAAATTCTAGACACTATGACTGATGACAGTGGGGATCTCCCCAATCATGTTTTCTACTTTATCCCCAGACATCTACCATACAGTAGGTGCTTTATAAGTGATTTGTAAAGTAACTGAATGAGTATTTTGGAGAATTATTACTAGTACATCTGTAAGTGAGAACTAGGATGCACCTTATATGCATTACTGAAGTTCAGGTACAATCATACTGTCTTTCTAAAGAAAATGGGTCCCACTCATATTACTAGAAACAAGTGTTGAACTTCTCAGTGTTTTCCCTCCCCATTGCATGTTATTTGAGAGAAAACACTTTTTCTTAAAAAAAAAAAATCCTTGAGCATATTTCTTCATCAAAACCCAGTCCCTGGTGCTGAAAATGACATATTTCTATTCATTAAACATGTTTTTAAAAAGCTCAGAAGATTTTTATTTGGCTTACGCCTAAACATCTATGCTCTTTTCCACATATAATCTATTCTCAGATTTAACTGCTGAAACAACCAACAGACTTAAATTGGTATAAACCTGACAATATTTTTGGTTAACTCACTGGTTGAAAGAACATTAAGAGGTAAGAAATGGCTTATATTTCACTTTCCCATTTAGCGATGGAAGTCTGACTCCCATTAGCACTATCAATATTTTGCAGAATGTTTCTTTCTTTCTTTTGTTTCTCCTTCCTTTACTCTTTCAGCAAATAAATGGTATCAGTAAAACCTCTAATGTTAATATATCAGACAATAGAGTGTTAAAGCACAGCTTGAGTTGTTGAAGAGTTAGTGGGCAGATATTACAATTCACTGTAGCTATAATAGAGGGTAATGTCACTTTAAGACATGTGATACTTTGGGAGAGGAGGGATGTATTGAAACAGACTACTGCTACTTACAGCAGCACCGTATAGCAGCCCTGCTTCTACATTTTGCTGCCTTACTCTGCCCCAAATGCACCGGAATGGGAATGGTCCATCGGCAACTATAAACTGATTCTGCTCAGGAAACTGCACATTATCTCTCCATCACTTCAAAGGTCTTGTCAGGCAGAGGTGACGCCAGGAGATGATTTAAAGGTGAAAATGACAAGGTTTCCACCCCTCAAACCTTGGCTCCTTTTCTGACAATACAGTCTGAATGAACCTGCTGTCTTTATTGTGGAAATAGGATCAACAGAGGAAAAATATATATATATATTTTTAACTCCTGATAAGGAAGATTGTTGGGAAGCTCTTTTTTAAAAATCTCAAATTGTGGCACAGATGGATTTTAAAAAGTGTTAGCTCTTTCCAATGAACGCTAATAGAGTACTCTGCTCTTGGCTGGATTTTTCAGGTAAGACACCTCTTTAAGGATTTAAGATTGTGAAAACATATCTAAAACATATTCAGTCATTTTGAGAGAATGATGCAAGGATGAATGCCTTTTTTGAGGGGGGACACTTATTAATATTAAGACAACCTCTTGGGAAAGGAGCAAGCAGTGAGGGCAATAAGCAGGAACCTTGGAAGTAAGGTTGAGAATTAAAGTTGAATAAAAATACAGATATTGCAAACATTAAGTCACAGCAATCTTTCTGAGCACTAAGATCTGTGCAGGTGAAGAAATGAGCAAGAGAAAGCAGTTAGTGAAATGCTGTTAAGTTTTGATTCTGGTAGGATTTTTTTCAAGTTTAGATTAATTCCTAGTGCATTTTAACTGCAATTCAGAGCACAGTGAATTGATAAAACACAATCACCTCTGTTTTGTCTTTGTATAATGTAAAAGGTATTCTGAAAAAGTCTAAAAATGCATTCATTTTAGGATTCGCAGAAGAGGTGTTACTATTTATCTCTACGGAAGAGAATTTACCGATGTTATCCTGATAATTCTGAAAACAATAAGGCAAAGTATGGTCTATACAAAAGTAAATAGTGGGCAGTGAAAGTGTTAGAAAGTGAGTGTTGCCTCTGAATCACGGACTGAGGCATGAATAGCATCCTGCTGTGGAAAATAATGTTTTCCTACATTGCAGTTAATTATAGTTGTCACTATTTGTCTAATATAGTCCTAAAACTCCTCAATTGCTATGTCTCTCTCCTAAAACACAAAAATTATCCTATGTTACATGCATGTGTGATGTATAATTTTGCTTTCTGAACATCAGAGTTTTTAAAGAGTACTAGTTTCCATGAAGAAGAAGGCATACTGAGAGGTCACTAGCAGGTTTTTCAATGTACAGTTAAAATTCTTCAAGTGTATGATTTGACAGTGAAAAGGAAAAGAAAGAAAACGATCTTGATCCCAGAGCTTTGTCTAGCTAAGAGAAAAGCATATAGTTAACTGGATTATTATACAGAAAATGCTTCCCTATCCTTGGCTGTATAAGGATGATGCTTCAAATTTGATTAATTTGGCAATATGAAACGCAGCATAAGGTGTTGTTTGAGAAATTGGACAATATGTAGCGCAGTTGAGCCTTTGTAGCTCCTATGATTCTCGTAGGTGCAGATAAGACTGTCAAAGTTTCTGCGCCTGAGAAAAGGTATATGTTCATCCGTAAATACCTATACCACCTGTGTATGCATATTCATCAGCACTCCATAACAAATGCCACAATGGAATCTTAGGAGCGATATTGTCAATTATGGTTAGCTCCAGGACAGACACTTACAGCTTGCATTTGAAATGCATTCTGGCTGACAATTCCTTCTGATTTTAAGTCCAGCCCCCACCCTCTGAAAAAATTGGTTCTATCAGGAGATTACAACATGCCTCTGAGAAATGATTACTTAGTTTAGAAGACAGCATTGCAATTAAAAATTCATGAATATAGAATTAAAAAAAAAAGAACCCACTCTTTCCTTCCAGGCTTATGTCAGACTTGCAATGAAGTTAGAATGAACAGAGTCTGCAGCTTTTCAAGAGCTGGGATAACTAGTTCAGAGATCACTGTGTAAAATAGGATTCTTAGGATACATTGTTTCAAACTGTCTAACTGATAGTCAAAAAACTTTACATTGTATTTTGGCAATCCTTTTAGTTTTATTTTGCAAAATAAACTTGTGATCTTCTGGAAAGGGCTTTTCCTTAATCCCACTTTATGGCATGACCTCTACTGGGTCATTAAGTCTAGCCAGAGAAGTAGCAATGGAACATGATGTCTAGGACCTCCTTTCCTTCATCAGCAGGGCTGACTGAGCTAGGGGCTTGAAGCCAGGGCATAATCTTTCCTATCGAATGTTCTCTTTAGAGAATGGCAATGATCTCTGCGATGTCCTGGGTGCTGTATTTGTGGATAAGTGCTTGTGCAATGCTCCTCTGCCATGGATCCCTTCAGCACACCTTCCAGCAGCACCACCTGCACAGACCAGGTAAGTTGGAGCTGGCTCTCTGCAGCCTCCTCCAGTCTCACCACTGTCTCCTTAACAGATGGTTGAATGTGAGTGACAGAAAGTGTTATCGTGTGGGCAGCTTGCCTTTAAATCCCAAGACATATCGTTGGCTGGATGCTTCTGGGGGAAGGGGAGTATACCAAAATGTTTTGGAGGTATTTCTGTTAATATCTCAGGAAAGGAGGGTTTCTCTCAGTGTCATCCCACCCCCCTTCCACACATCTTTGAAAAGTACAAGACATTTGCTTTTGGATGCTTTGGCTATAGCAAAATACTCTGCAAAAGGTGGGTTAACTTTCAAGACTTGAGGCTCTCTTTTCAGGAGGCAAAGTAGCATCTTTGTCTATTCTGGGATGCATTTTCCCCTAGTATAAATACTATTGTTTTAGTCTGTATGTGGCTAAGGATTGTGTGTGAGAGAGTGTGTGAGAGAAAGATGAAAGAGAGAGAGAGGGAAGGTAGTCCCCAAACTAACTTTGAAAGTAAGTTGGCAATGAAAAATAAAAGTAACTTACTATTTCTTGCCTGATTTAATTTGCTTCCTTTCTCTTCTCCCTTCCTTCACTTTGTGTTCTTCCAGCATGTTTGGTAGCTCCCCCCCTTTCTTTTGGCAGTTTCAGAGACACATTCCCTCTTGCCTGACTTTTTTTCTGTATTGAATATTTACTTCCGGACGTACTTTGCTTTCTTCTTCTTTCTGGTCAAAGTATATTTCTTGTCCTGCCGTGGCCTCACTCTTCAGTCTGGATTTTCCCCTTCTTTGCCTCCCTCTCCAGCTTTCTCATTGCCGTCCTCCTCCCCACCCCCAGCTCGATCGTCCTTACCTTCCCTTGTTCTCAAAAAGGTTTCCTCCCATTGTGTGTTTGGCTGCAGCCTTTGCGTCCTGTAACTACCTCACTCTTCCTCCCCCTCCACCACCTGCTCTCCAGTCGCGCGGTGGTCCAGTTCGGGCTCTGGGGACCAGTTGCGCGTGCAAGTTTCTGATCCTCAGTTGAGAAGTGCTCCCAGCCCTCCATCTCCCTCTCCAGATCCCTTCCATGGTCTCCTCCTATCCATGGAGCTGCCTCCGGCTGCGCGGTCCGGCGTCTATGCCCTTGCCTTTCCTGGCTCCCCTGCCGACCTGGACACGGATCCTGGCTTTTCAGCACAATCCTCCAGCCACACCTCTGGGGCGCCACATGGTGCCTCCTGGGACGCTGCTTCTAGGCTGCGGGCAGGCTCGGCAGAGCCCGGGCGTAGCCAGGATCCTTCCACGCGCCCACGTCCGCGCCTGGCTGCAGCAAGCGCTCCAGCCCGCTGGGTGCTGGAGCCTCAGCTGCCCTGGGAGGACGGGAAGGGGACGGCCTGTGCTTAGGGCTGCGGCCCGGGTCCCTGGTCCTGGGCCGCGGCCATCCTTCCCAACGCTTTGGGTCAGGGAGGGAAGGCGAGGGGGCGCTGGTGCCCCTGCAGGTGGGCATGGAAACCACTCTCTGCCGGGCGCCCCTGTTTGTTTCTGCATCCTGTGTCCAGAGTCTGGCGCTGAGACCATTAGACAAACGTGGATTTGGGGATCTCTACTCTTACCTTCAATTACTTAATCACTGATGTATCTGTTCCGGCAAAAAAAAAAAAAAAAAGTCTTTGACTTGTTACATAGTCATACAAATACTATAGGAAATCTCCACTGATCATACGCAACAGTATGAATTTATAATTAAAAAACCCTATTAATTGTGATGTTTTAGGCACCTAATAATTTAGGTGCCCGGCGTGAATTCACATTGTTTGGTATAATCCTTGAGCAAGTGGGTGTCACGCCCTCCCACCCCCGCCCCCGTTTTGTCCAGGGAACAGTGGTTCTGAGAGGGTGGGTGACTTGTCTGAAGCCACACAGCAGAAGAGCTGCCACTGGAAGTTAGATCTGACTCCACCACCAGGGTGTCCCTAGGAAGGGGAAATGCCTCTGGGTGCCCAGAGTGACTGTGCTAGGTAGCTTCTTTGAGGAGGTGTGAGCCCCTCCATGTAATTTGTGAAAATTTTCATTGTGTCAATTCATGGGCTCATTTGAATGCAAACTCATTCTGTGAGGTTGTCCATGCAGAACTAGTAGGGTTGGTTAAACTGGTGAGTAGCAGGTAGTGAGGGGGAAAGCAGGGTTCAGGGTTGGCCACCATCTCTCTCTGTCACTTACCGTTAGTGATATGACCTTGGGCAAGTGACTTTTCTTCCCTGATTTCCCATCTGAGGATATGGTGGAGGGTGTAATTAAAATAAAATAACTTCCAAGGAAGTCTTTTTGTAAGCTGTAAAGTTCTTCATAAATATCAAGAATATTTATGACTCCTCTTCTTAATACACCACAAGCCCACAAATCAGGGATGCAGAATGAGCAGTCTTGCTGTTCATACAGCTAATAATCCACATAGCCAGAACAAAAACTTGTTTTTTCTTTCTTGCTGTTTTTTTTTTTAATTGTGGTGGCTCATGTCTAGACTATGCCAAGTGCCTTGTGTTTTATTTTACACTCTACACATATAATCATGAAATAGATGCAGTACAGTTTGCGATGAGCTTTCACATAGGTTGTTTATATTAATCAGGTTAATACAGATTTTCTTTGTGAGAGTTATGTGTAATAAGTAAACTCATCATATCTTTGTAGGGCTTATTATTAAAACATACTATTTTAAACAGAGAAACACGTATTAAACACTGAAATTTAACTCAATAGTTATTTTCTCTGTTGTCTTCTTTAGAATTTGCTTATTATCAACCAATGCCTGGTTGATATCTGCATGAAACACCCCAAGAAACTGCAGCACTGAAACCAATTTCAACCCCAAGTGCTTATGCATTTGAGACCCATTTCAGCTTCATTATTGAAATGAAGAAGCTATAAATACTCCTTTCTTTATGCAGAGAGATTAAAATGATATTAAGCTTAGCGTCCAATGGTTCTATGTAATACATTTGTTCAACTTTCTAGGTTTTTCAACAATAGCTGAAAAGATTAAAGTGATAGATCTTGCTCATAGCAATATTCTAGATTATTCTAGCCAGACTTTTTAATAATCTTCTGTTTTGATTTTAAAAGCAAAAATATGCTTTTTTTGATGAGAGTTGTGACATTTCCCTTTGTGGGTCTTAAATCTTCAGGGACACTAATGAAATGTGTATGAAAACAAGAGAGAAATCAGGGCCAGTTATCTCTGACAACCCACCCCTAAATGAGCAAATATATAAATAAATAGCTGAATAAATGAGCAAAAAGGAAAAACCATAATCTCATTTTCTCAAATCGGTTAAAACAAGTGACATGATGAGAAAGAATGAGACACCAGCAGACCCTGAGCTTTGCCACATTTGCCTAAGCTTGAAAAATCACCTCTTTCATAAAGCAAGAGCAGGCAGACTCTGCGTGCATACCAAGTATCAGGGAAACGTGGAAAGTGACAGATCTTTCACTCAGAGCCTTGGATGGGGAAGGGGGAGTGAAGCCTTTACTTAGGGCTACCTCTTCACCTGTTCAGGAATCCCTGTGTCCAGCCCCTCCCCACAGCCTTCCCAGCCTCTTAGAGGCAGCTCGGTTGTCCCCTGCACAGTAAGATTGATGGTGTTCAGATGTAAGCAGCCAATTTCAGTCTCTCAAGAAATAATCCACTACACTGACAGATGAGTGGAATTTGATGCGATGTTCCCCTCGTTCACGCTGCCGCACCTGGATGGCACCAGCCAGCCGGGGGCCTTTAGGGGAAATGGTTAGAGATTTGGGCCAATTTCTCCTGTCATAACATGACACTGAGACCATGTTTTTGTGAGGCTGTGAATTTGTGATCTGTCTTCCCAATGCAGTGCGTTTGTATACAGACAGAATGAGAATATGTTAACTAGAAAACGGACTGGTTTTAATGGATTCGCCTGCAGTCCCTAAGTACTCCCTATCTTTCATATTTATAGTATTAGGGACGCACCATTTATTTTCAGTTACTCACTAGTTAAGGAAGATTAAAACAGTCAATCAAATGCAAGTGAATTTTAAAATTACACAAGTGAGTATAACAGATTTATAATTTCAATAATTTAATATTTGGCTAGATCAAGTTTTTATTTGGGAAACTATGTCAGAAATTATCATAACAACTTCAAGAATACTTGTGCCTCTTTTTAATTTTTTTGCAGTAAAGCTATAGAGAAGGCATTTATTTTTAAAAAAGATCAAATGATGAAAATTCAAAAGTGGTGTTCAGTTGTTTCAGGTAGTTAAAATCACTTCAACTATTTGTAATCATCAGTGTTTTGGAGAACAGATAAGAAAAGATGAATAGTTTTTGCTAAATGTAACTTTCTAATTTTTTCCCCTTCTGGATCTAAAGTATGACAGCAATTTTAATGTTTGCTTAATTTTGAGTGTGTGGGTGTATGTGTGTGTGAGAGAGAAGGAGGATGTCCTTGTAACTTAATAAAATATGGATCATCTCAAAATTCTTTAGCAAGAAAAGATCCTTGGAATTCTTTAGTAATTTAAAATTATATAGATAAATTACATGAGACAAGAAGTTGTCAGTGCCTAATGAATCATTTATTCCTGAGTCCCTGCTATTTTATTGACAAGGGTGAACGGAAATGATACAGAAAAAGATTACTCTGAAGAGAATTGGTCTGTGTAATTTATACTTGACCTGACTTAAAAACTATATTAAGCAAACTATGTATGTTAGAGGTATTCATTTATGACTGGATTATTAAATACTGAACATCGCCATCCATTTTAAAGTGTGGTATTTTTGTTACAATATTAAAAAGCATTCTTGTATGCATTACGCTGATTTTTACCTTCCCATTCAATATTACTTTATTGAAAGCTGCTTAAAGAATATGCTCTGCAATCCCAGGTACATTATAATAAAGGTTTGTTTTATAGCAGTAATAGAGAAGAAATAGTGGGAACAACCAGGGTTGCATGTTGGCTTTTTAAGAATGCATACCAGTGCTAGGTCGCT